GTGTGTGTGTGTGTGTGTGTGTGTCTGTGTGTCTACACTGACTGCGTCAGCAGTGTGGTTCAGCTGCTCTTCCAGAAATTCAAGGTCTCACCTGTCCTCTCCAAGTACTGCAGGCAGTTCTCAGACAATTTATGTTTCACCACCATTTTAATGTTTATCTGAGGAATATGTCACAACATGTGTTGTAACACAAGTAGAAACACTCTAGCGTTTCTATTGACTGCCTCCATTAATTTGTTTTAACAAGGTTCTTATTGTTATTACAGGACCAGAAGATGCACAGCTTCATACCTTAAATGGTTAGTATTTAAAGCACTTTTCTAGTCATTCAAAGCACTTTACAGTACAGTTTTGCCATTCACACACACATTCGTACAGTGCACCTATTAGCAGCACTTTTTGTTCTATGAAGGGTTCAGCATCTTGGCCAAGGACACTTCGGCATGCAGATGGGGAAGACTGGGGATCGAACTGCCTGGTTGGAAGCAGCCGCTTTATCCCTCAGCCACAGCCACCTTAGAGTCCTGACATTTAGTTGCATTTATAGCTGAGCTTTTATTCAAGAAAAAACTACAGTAATCATACCAGACACGAAGTAGTAACATGGTGCCGTTCACACAGGAAGAGTGGACTGGGCGTTCGTCTCTTAATACTTAAGATTTCCTCCCCCTCTCAGTACAACCCCAGCTCACAAATGTAGTCATTTGTTTCCAAGTATTCAGTCTTATTCATGATTAATTAAATTGAAGAGCAACCTATGATGTCCTTCCCTCACCCAAAAACCTACAGCGGAGGCTAAGTGAAGATCCATCCTGCCTTCTATGCTCAGACCCATCCTAACTGGTTGTAAAATAAGTCTCTCCCAGGGAAGTAACGTGGATATACAACCATGCCTGGCAGCAACAATTCAAACAATTGGCTGCAACAATTAAAACAAAGATAACTGCTACCAATGCCTTGCCATCCAAAACAACGAGTGTAGTTCCACGGAAAACATTTGTCTGAGAAGACGAACAGGGAAAGAGAGACACAGAGAGGGCCTCCTCAACTGACTAGGTGTGGTCAGCTGGAGGAAGCCCGAGACTGGGAAATATTTAGCTTATTGCCCCCCCCACACATTGTCACTACCACCCTGAGAACAGACCTGGTACTCTGGTCCAACACCCTGCATGTAGTCTACGTCAAACAACTGACAGTACCCTGGGTAACATTGATGAAGCAAAAGAGAGGAAAAGGCTGCGGTAAACAAGCATCTGAGGCAAAATAACGTGGGTTTGCCCTGTGGAGGTTGGCTGCAGGGGTTGCATTGCAACATTTCAACCAATAGATAGGCTTGATCACTGGTCATGTGAAAAGAGGTTTATTTATCAGTCTGACCAGAGTGTCATTATTCTTACTTCTTTGCTCTCAAGTTATTGAGTTGCTGTGTGTATACCTTGTTGTGCAGTACTGTGGCCAGTTGGCCCTCACTGCCTTGAAGCTCCTGGAGCAGGTCTGTGATGGCGGAGCTGGAAAGTGATTGGATCACGGTAGAAAGGGGCTCCACTAACCAGCAAAGCACCTGGACCGGACACAGACAGAGGGTGAAAATGGTTAAAGTGTTCTGTGCAGTTCACGGAAGGGGTCTGAAAATTTCTTGATTCTTAGATGCATCGTGATGTAGACAACTGTGTATCGATCGAGGCAGTGACAGCACAAAATCTATTCATTTGTTTTCTGCTACATAAATTGTTTTAGCGTCCCGTCGCTGAGTAATTATAACCACCGCTGCTTCAGGATCAAGACGGACGCTTATTAAAGGTCCAGTCATACTGTACCGTGCCAGAGTCTGCTTCCTCCTCACTCACCCATTGACCTGCGCTCACTTTACACTAAAAATAAAAACCAAAACTAATCAGAAACTACTGGGACACGTAGTTTACATTGCGTTTGTTTTATTCAGTCTAGAGTTTGAGACACACATTTAAACGTACCATGCACACACATTCCCCTACAACAAACAATATGAAAGGTAACATGACACGCACAGTCAGGTGATCAGTGTTAAAGTGACCAGAACAATCTGGAGTCATGATCCAACATCATTGATTAATAATTAAATACACGTGATTATAAGTTTGTGTGAATAGCAACAGAGACGAGCAGACACACACAAACATACAGGCTGCGGACAGAAGAGAAGTCTTTCACGCAGATTATGAAATAACACAATGTTTTAACTTCATTGTTGCAGAAGAATGTTTTTTCCAAAAGCATACATTTGAATTCAACAGGTTTTTATAAAGATCATTTCTACATGTGAGTGATTAGAACACCCCAACTGGTCAGGCAAGATGGCCGCCCGCACTGGGTCTGGTTCTGCTAGAGGTTTCTTCCAGTTAACGAGGGACTTTTTCCTCTCCACAGTTGTGCTGCTCATTGTGGGAACTGTTGGGTTTCTCTATATTTAATATGATTTTAAGGTCTTGACCTTCTATGTAAAGTGCCTTGAGATAATGTATATTATGATTTGGCGCTATACAAATAACATTTTACTGAATTGATGCATCGTTGTGCATTCTAATCGTTGATTGTTGAATCGTAATCAAATGCTAGTGAAGATGCACACCTCTAGTTCACGGTTTATTAAAAATTATCCATTTCATTTTGCGAGAGAAACTTAATTACATAAGTCATTGAAGAACAAGACAGACATAAAATGACACATTAAATGTGTTCCATCATACCAAGAGTTAAAGATAAATGAATAGAATTACTACCTTATGGTTGTATGCCTCCACCAACCAGTACAGTTTCAGTCAACATACATTTTCCCCCAGACTCATTAGGGAACAGTGACCTTTGACCACTGAAATCTAATCATTTAATCTGAGTGACAACTGCTCATAAAGAGAGACTTTACAATATCATTTCCAAGAGGCAAAAAACATGTTTTGTGATGAGGCCACTATGAACTTTGACCCCCATCTAATCAGCTAATATATAAGTTTAAGGGAACATTTGTCCTAAATCTGAGAGGATTCTCTCTAGGTGCTCTTAAGATAACAATTGTGAGGTCACAGTTACCTTGACTTTTAATCAGGTCATCCAAGAGTCCAAATGAGTATTTGTGCCAAATCAGTTCATCTTTTAGTGCAAATATAAAATTTTAAGACATTTCATCAGGGTGTATGGGTGGCTGTCACTGGCACAGTTATAAAAATGAATACACTGTTGTGAGATGAAACTTGAACATTTAGGGTATAGCAGAGACACTTTTCCACCATAACCACTCATATTTAAGGAATGTGGCTGTTTTTGAGGAGCATCAAGATGAACATCTTTAAATCATTACCTGGTCCTGCTTGTCCTTCTTGGCCAGGGCAGGAAGGTTGCGTGCAATCGCCATGACAATGGCGGTGGCCTGGGGTGAGGGCAGGAAGGGGAGGAGTCTGGATATGAGCCGTTTGCCCTTCCTCACTGACATGATCATCACACATTGCTCGTCACTTACTCTTATTAAGAGGAATAGAAAAGAGTTAGTGTGTAGATTCACATATTAGAACAACACCTGCTATGAGCAGCTCTTGTAATCAGGTGATCTTATACTTATGTCTTATCTATCCCTCCATCCTACCTATCATCCCACTCCTTCTCCCGCAGAGAGTTGCACAGCTGCACTGTGTTGGTTTTATGCTGCTCCAGCAGAGCCTCCCTGTCCTCCTCTGGGGCCTGGACAAAACGTTTTTCAAAGTCTTGAACCTCCAGCAGCAAACTGTACATCTGGAGGACAGGATTGGATGGAAGGACAGAAAAGTGTCACAGAGGTGTATTTAGGATCCAGGGCTGTATCTGTCTCTACATGCACAGCCATCCTCATACCTTCTCTACAGTGTACAGGATCTGTCGCCTCTTATTCCAAACCTGCTTCTCTCTTTTCTCCTAAAGGCAGACAGAAAGGAAATCGGAAGTGAGCAGCAGAACTTTTAAGTTCTTTGTAAAAATACAGTTTCAATGAATAAATAAAAATAATAATAAACACAGATGGGTAGACAGAGACAAAAACACACACACACTAATGCTGCAGCCAGGACAGCACTTCCCCACAAAATGTGACACAACATGGAGTTTTTTTTCCATGTTGCAGAAGAAGCGATGCCCTGCTTATCCGGGAACATAAATTTGAATTGAGCAAAAAGATCAGCTCAGTGTGAGTGATTAGAAAACAGGAGAGAAGAAGAATCTCTTGTTGACCAGCGGAGTAATGCACCTCGATGCTGCCAAGGAGGAAGGCCTTTGAAACTTTATTTT